TTGGCATAATCCAAAACATTATTGGCTTCCAAGTTTCTCAACACATGTCAGTTCCTCCTGCACTTTTAAAAAAGTTAAAAAGGGAGCCCACATAGACTAAAATTCACCCTCCAACATGAAACAACTGGGCCTGCTCTGGGTTTGACAAGTGAATGGAGCAGGCACTAGAACAGTTACCTAACTTGTTACCAAACAATAAGGGAATTTCTATCTGCACTCAAGTGCTTCCATAAAATATTCATACCATAAGGGAATTTACCTTTTAACCTTTATTCCTCCTGTTTAGATTTGCATGAAGGTAGTTTCAAAGCAATGGGTTAACAACTCTTCTGGACAAACATTGCAAAGGTGGGTAAGGAGTTCAGTTCAGGGAAGGTGAGGTTTTAGTCTCATGAAGTCAATGGTCTTAAAACACCACAAAAAGATTGCATTAGAGAACTTCAATGCAAATAATTGTCAGATCATTCAGTTTGGACCAAAAAAAGAATGCATTCGAGTATTTTTTAAATGGCAAAAATCTAGGAACAGCGGAGGCCAAAAGAGGTTTAAGGACCCAAGTACCCAAGTCAATAAAATGCAGTCAGCAGGTCTGGCAGCATCTGTGGATACAGAAAGTTAACACTGAGTCCAATATGACTTCTTCACATTTTGAAGAAGTGTTATATTGGGTTCGTAACACAAAGATGTTTACTTTAGATAAATATAGTGTCATGCATGTTATTAGGTCCAACACAGATGATCCATATTGTGACACGGAACAATACTGAGAGAAGTTGAGGGAGAAAAAGATCCTGATGTTATACATCAGTCACTAAATCTTCATGACCAAACTGTAGCTAAAGCTAACAAAATACTGTGCTCTATGAACTAATAAAGCCATTTTATCTAATTCAAAAGACAGTATTTGATAGACAGATCATAGGTCCCCAGTGCAGTTTGACCTATGAGAGCGTACATTACCTTAAACAACTTCAGTTACTCAGATAGGCTCAAAGGCCTTCGTCTGTCTGTTTTATAGTATTATAGATTTTGAAGTAATCTGATAAGCCTATAAAATATTTAAAAGGACAGATTCAATTCCTATTAATAGACTATTTGATTATAATTGATTGAGGAGGACCAGGGATCTGATGTTTAAAAGAGTAGGAACACACAGAAAATTGAACAGATTTTCCTTTCCTAGAGCAAACTTCAGCTCGTGTGGTGGGTGGTAATTCTCTAACTTCAGGAGTTAGCTGAAGCACTTCCTAGCTGGAGTAACGATCACATTTTGAAAACACTTAATCCAGGGGATCTCCTGAACTCAAATTAATCACAATGGAGGATGGGGAGGAATCTTTCAGAATATCTTTTCCCTCATTGCATCCAGGGTTTACACTTTTCCCAGGTGATTCCATGGTTGTGAAGAAATGGTTTAAGCTGGTTTAGCCATGATGATCCAGTCACCACAGCATTGGTAGGCATGATGAATTAGTCACTCTTTTCCTGATCATTGAGATTGTATGTTTGTATTAAATCTTGCTCTAAATTTCACATAGTATTGTTAGAACATATATTACAGCATTGATTGCCCCAAACTGATGGAATTAAAGGATATTTATTTCTTGTAATAATTTAAGTTAATCAGGAAGCAGCAAATGACAGTGACAATTTTATGTCAAGGTAATTCAACTGACAACATTATTGACACAAATCACTGAAAGTACAGAAGGTTTTCATCATACCACTTTTATCACCTAGATATCAGCATTTTTGATTCCTAATGTTAGTGTAGGGGAATCACCATCTGCTGTCCTTCAATTTGAAGAGTCCCAAGTTTCTGCCATGAATCATGGAGATGAACAGGTTGATTCTCAAGCTGCATTTCTTTAGACATGTGAGACAGGGCATTCCACAAGGTGATGGGATTTGGAATGCAGAACATGCACGTTGCGTTAGCTTTTATTTTGCAGCATTATTCCAAATGTCTTCTGTGGTTTATTTTTATTGCTAGGTAATCTACTATAGATACAATTTGCTCATCAGAAATCGGCAGCCATATTTTGGTTATATCACCAGTATTGTGGCTTTCCATATTCCTAAAGTAAACCTGCAAATAATGGAATTCTACTCTATGATTTCTCAATCGTTAAATCCATCTACTTGGAACCATGGCTTATAGCAAAGCTCTAAAGCCACAACGCAAACTACAGCACCATTAAGATTATCTACACGGATTCTGCCACATATCGTTGTGCTAAATGCACTTCATCACTTTGAGACAATTACTATTTTATTCCCTCTTTGAAACAAAACCAAAAATTGCACAAGAAAGATTAACAATGGAACTGTTGACCACAGAACAGGCCAAAATGCGTTTGCGATTTTCAAAAAGCAAGACCACAATCATGAAGGAGCTCGTCACGTTTCAATTCACCAATTGTTTACAACTCATATAAATGTGTGAAATAGGAACATATGTAGAAATAGAGCATTTCACCCTTCAAGTCTGGTCTGCCATTCAATAAGGTCATAGCTGATCTGTTTGCATTCCCACATTCTCAGCTACTATTCTACCCAATAACTCCTGATTCCCTTGCCTAACAAGTATCCATCCAACTCTCTCAAAACTATTCAGTGATCCTGCCTCCAATACCTTCTGAGGTGGACAGTTGCAAAGTCTCTTACAAAAGGAACAGTTTCAAATAAAACTTTGAAGGAGGAAACCAGGAAGCAAGCTAAATTGTTCCACTGTCTCGTGTGCTCTTTAATCTCTGCAAAAACGATGGCATCTTTGTCAGCAAGAAGTTTTCTAAGTTGTCTGCTAAGAAGTTGGAATACTGTTGGATTAAAAGATATCCAATGGAACTAATACAACGACACAGTTTCTGGAAGAGTATGTTCAGGCAGCAATACAACCCAAAAAGCTGCAATCATACAGTGACAGTCACTGTGTATCCAGCACAAATTCACTGATAACTTGACATTTTTATGCCATATTTTATCCACAGAACTCAAGAATGCCGAAATAAGAAGTCAGGATATAGAAAGATTAATCAAAGACCCCTGTCAGAAAGTAATGCTTCCAGCACCTCATTGGGAACTCCAAAGAAAATGGTTATTCTTTCATCTAATATCAAAACAGTAAAATGGTCACCAGTTCAACAAGTTTTACTTGATCAATTGCTAATAATCATCTTAAAATAAGACCCTCACTCCACATTATATTTAGTAGTACTCGAGTTGGATCAAACTCATTTCCATCAGCAGGTACAAATGTAGTGAAAATGGCATCAAAATGGATGAGCAATTATAAATATTAAATCCATAGTGTCTATTTAGTTTAATGCAAAATTGTCTTCCTTTTTAAGAAAAGCACATTGTGCTCATGTTGTAGCATGACTAACGTCATAAGCAATTACTGTTACAAGTGCATATAGTGACTTCCTATTTTTTCGTGCTGGTGCAAGAGTAATTCTGAGCACTGAACATTCTACCAACAATGAACTTCATTCCTACATTAAAAATAATCTTCTTGAAGTAACAGTATCTAAAAATCAAATGATGTTATTTCATGAAATAATTCTGAATCCATGGAATGCAGGATTAATCTGAAAACATTTTCTTGCAGTTTTCTTTCAGCTGAAATGCAGTTACAGTCTTCAAATTATAAATGGAAAACATCTGCTGTACCGTGAGCACCACTCATATCATGTTTGTGCATCATGTGTCAATTTTAGCTGCAACTATTCTGCTTTTTATAAGGTCAACAAAAATATAAATATTAACTGTTCATAACATTCATTTTGCTAATCTCAGATACTCAGACATCAACAAATTGCACTTGGTGATGTGCATCAGCTTAATATCAAGCTGCATCCTGTGGGCCTTGGAGAACCTCTGCATCTTCAGTTTTACTGTGACTCAAGGCTTCAATTATTTCCCCATGACCTAGGCTTTCTATTCAACCAGGGGGCAAGCTGACTTTTTAGCAGCAGAAATCAATGCTACTCTATAACTGACAGGCAGGAGCACAGCCCCTGTGTCCAATACAGCATATCAGCGCTCAGGCTTCGAAGTCTCCAGCACCACTAAGATTTTAGCTGGGAAATGTCAATGGAAATGGGGGTAACAAGGGAAGACTGATGTCATCAGAAGCTGAGATCGAAACTGGTGACTCATGAGTTCACCCGCACTGTTCTAGTGCGGGAGCTGGGTGCAAACCTGTTCTTTCTCAGTGGCTACTTAAAAAAAAAAATCAATATTCTTCTCTAGAAGGATCTGAAATGCTCAGCTCAAATGTCATCCTGTTCAAGACTGGCTGACATTGTATGGAAGAGTCCAAAAAAGCTGAAAGAATCAGACATAGCAGTGCTGATTAGCTGCAATAATAATTTGACACACAATTGGATTAAAAAAAAAATTGGAACAAGCCAGTGCCTGAATGTGTAGCTGTTGACACATCCAAAAGATGAAAGCATTCATGGTCAAAATAAAACAGTGAGTAAGAGTAGCCAGGCATATACAACTGCAAACAGACTAAATCCTACTTTTAAAATAACCATTTTATTTTAATTATTCCATGAACGATTGCCTGGCCCTCAAAATCACTTGTCACATTACATAAACCTTCATCAGTTTATAACATTGAAGAAAACCATTCCACCCAAGGGATCTATGCCTGCTCTTTCTTTGTGCAATCCATAGACTAGCCCCACAGATTCACCATCTCCCCTTCGCTCATTAATGGTAATGACAGTGTGGTGCTTCTGTTTATTTAGGAGTGATAGGCTGAAATACAGTATTAGTGAAAGTCCATCTTATAATTTTATGATTACAAATTGCATTTGGCTAAGATGAAAATTGATGAAGAAAATGTAGAAAGGAATAAAAAGCAGGCTTCACCTTAATTAAACAAGTAAGCCATGTCAGCAGCATGTTTTTAATCACTTCATTCACTCATCTATCAGGAGTTTTAAGGGGCAACTTTTATTGTTCCACAGATAGTTTGAGCTACTTACAGATGATATGGGCAGTGAAAGCCCCACTGTATACAGCACAGTGGACGTGACGGTACTATTCTTGAACGGGTACTTGATGCTTTCATCATCACAATAAAAACCTCTTTGAAATGGGTTTACTTTGAACAAATTTATAACACCCATTGGCATACCAGCTGTAGGGAAGGAAGAAAAAAAATGCTTTTAAGTGAACCTTCAACTGACAACTTTACAATAGAGTTAACAATCACAAATCCTGTATCCAGGAAATTCAAAGTACAAAACAGTCCACTTGCCAGATTTTGACTCAATTCTGTATCAAAGACTTAAGTAAACAGTTCTATATATTTTAATTTACAGACACAGAACACTTAATTTGCTATATGTCCTTGCTTTTATTTGTGTCAAATAGGTTTAGAATTGGTAATTCCGTTTTTACTGCAAATTGAGTGGCCACATGTTTGTTTCATCCTAAGATGGAAATCCCAACTTTTTTCTCATGACATGAACTTCAATTATTTGGCATTCACTGAAAACTTTTCAGTTTCATGATGGATCTCAGACTGCGATTTGGAAAGTCATGTTTTGGTGATTCACTTTCTTTTTCATTAGGGATCAAGGGTTACGAGGAGAAAGCAGGAGAATGGGTTTGAGGAACTTATCAGCCACGATTGAATGGCGGAGCAGACTCGATGGGCTGAATGGCCTAATTTCTGCTCCTATGGTCTTATTGATTAGCAACAAGCATTAGTGCGAATTGATTAAGGAAATACTAACAAATTTATCAGAAACCTGGTTCTTGTATTCAATGCATGACCACTGAATGGCTAATTTACTTTTATAACATCATTCCATTTTGTATAGTTATCCATGGTAGAGGTACAACACCGTTAATAAGAGAGGTCAAATAAATTGACATATTTGCCTCATCGTTGAAAGGATTTTTAAAGTTATAAAATTTAATTTGCCCTTCTAGTACCACATAATCCAAAACAGGGACTGAAAGATGTACTTAAAAGCCTTTGCTAAATTAATCCAAACTAGTCTCTCTCGGATGTGGGTGGAGGCCTGGAGTATGGTGACATGCTTTACAGTTTTCCTGCTACTCTTGCAGCCTTCACTCATACTCAACCCAAAGAAATAGCTCAGGTCAGAGATTTAGAATTCATGAAAACTTGTGGCATGGACACATGTCAAGCCATTCCTTTGGCCTTCAAGAGCCCCAGCCTTTGAGGTTTACAGTTGCTTCTTTCAATGTTGACATCATTTGTTAATTATACCTAATTTTTGTGCAAAACGTGTGGCTAAATGTGGACCACATAACAGCAGAAAGCAAACTCTATGGTACGCCTGTATACAAGAAATGCCATTGTTTGGTTTCACAAAACCACTGTTATGGCATTCATAGAACTCAACTGAGGGCCTGTTCTTTTGTCTGTTAGATACACCAAATAAGAAGGAACATAACACTGTAACTAACATGTCTTTAGTCACAGTCTGAAGAAGAGATTTGAATTTGGTATAGATTACCTGGAAATATTGTGTAATATCACACTGCTGAATGCTTGCTGTTTTGGAGAAGGTGACTAGTCTCTCAATTAAACTGGGGAAAAAATTATGCATTGTATAATGTTTTACTTTGATTATATCTTCCTAGTTTGGTATATAATAATTATTTTTCCCCAGTACAGTCTCCCTATAACGTGAAGTCATACTAAGAAATTATGCTCACCTTGGACAACATTAACCTGCAATGATTCACATATTGAGTTCAAAATGTTTCTGGACTTGTACAGTATAATATTTGCAGTTGCAAAACATATCTAGCTTTTTAACTTTATCTTATCTAATATTTTCAAATGAAAATTTTAAGGACATTTCTTTCTTTGCATTTATTTTAGATGATTCATTTCCCTTCCATTTCTCCCCCTTTTCCTTTCTCTCGAGACCAATAACTGCTTATAGGTTACAGATCCTTAGGTGCTAGTAGCTTTCTGGAACCTTAGCAAATTTCCAGAAGTCAGACATGAACTTTGACAGTCAGTTATTTGACTATTGTGTTGGGAGTGGATGGAATGGGCTGCAATTCAGCAGCTTATCTAGTCCACACCCAACATTCATGTGCACAGGACTCTCTGGATAGCAATCAGGATCAGGATCAGAAGATGAGACAGCCCGCTCCGTCATTAACCAGTGAGCCAAGGACAATCATAGTGTTTGCACAGTCATTTCTGCTTCTGAACATAGATTACATGTTTTAAAGCACTACATTACAGATCTAATAGTCATACACCAATGACTTATTCAATGCTATTATGCAGAATACCAATTTTAGTAATTTTAATGTTAATGTTCCAGTTCAAACAAACTCATTATGTTTAAAAGTCCAGGAAGCCTTAATGCAATTTTGAAGGAAATAGCAATGGTATTTTAGTAATGAGTAAACAGAACATGAAAGACAGTCCTACATGGGTTCAGTTCAGTTTGGAATGATCACTGCTTAGGTCTGCTCATTTAGATATCATCTACTTCTGAGCCAATATTAATCTCACTTACAGAAGACTGAGTTTATTTTCTGTCTTCCTGTCCTGAAGACAAAATTTATACATAGTCATATGTGTGTACTAGACACTGCCAGTGTCTTACTAAACTGTGACTTCATTCATCATCAATAGGGTGCAGCTATTCATTTCACAATTGGCTATTCCGAACCAGATGGTCGGACCCAACCAATCCAATCCTACACCGTACCCAATATCCAAACAGGAGCAGCTGTATCAGTGGTATTTACTGGAGAGTGTATTTTTCCTCTCTTTCTCTCTAAACCTGTGACAATCCTACTATCTGTGGAGATGGGAAAATTTAACCTAGAAATTTGTGTGAACAGCTCAGTGCAATTCCACACAAATGAAGGGGGAAATTTAAACTCTACCTGATATTAGGCAGTGGAATCTATTGAAACAACCACACATTACTCATTTTGCTTGATTTTAAAACATCTGAATTCAATATACATTAAAAAAGGATGAAAAGCATAACAAGTGACAAACGCAATATTATTTGTGTTGCACTATGATTGAAAGAAGAAACAATCTCACAGATGTGAAAATCTGAAGTGTCTACATAAAGTCTTACAAAGACATGTTCATTCAAATATTAATTTTTAACTCATCAGCTGGAAACAAACATTAGACTTTTTGTAAAGGCAATTTCAACTAAAACCAGGTCATTGACAAACTAAAAATTGCTTTAGTTGACTCTGTAGTACTCCAAATCCACTCCAAAAGGGTCTATTAACAGCCTCCCCATAAGACCATATGTCATGAGATCAGGTGCAGGCCATTCAGTTCATTGAGTTGACTCTACCATTCAATGAGATCATGGCTGATCTAATAATCCTCAACTCCACTTTCCTCCCTTGATTCCCTTACTAATTAAAATATCTGTCTATCTCAGTCTTGAAGATAATTAAAAACCCAGCTTCTACAGCCCTCTGCTACCATTAGGAAGATACTTTGTGGAATACCCAAAGGATTTTAAAATTTCTGATGGCAGTTATAGAAAAGTTATGTGACCAAGTCAGCTATGACCAGATCACTTACCAAAATTAACCTGTATTGTAGATTTGCATGCGATTCAAGTATACGTGTTTGGACATGTTTTGCAGAAGTTGGGATGAACTTTCCCAGTTTTAGTTTTTTAATTTTTTTCACCTTGTTTTTTGCATGACAAAATGAACTTCTTACTTGTTCAACTTAAGGAAACCTACCTGGCTAGTTCTTTATCATCCAAATGTAAAAGATAAGGAGACACTGAATCGGCAAATGAATGTTTTATAAAATAAAAAAAATGTTAAAATCAAACAAGGAGTGGGAAGAAAGGGGAACCATTCCACTCCTCCACATCTGGTAGTATCAAAAAGGAAATTGCCAATAGTTTCTATTCATTTGCAATATTGTGTTGTTGCTAACTCCTTTGATTGTTTGTGAACATGTGGAAGGGGTGTCGTATTGTTGCACCTTCTTGTCTGTAATATTCCACGTTGTGTCCACATGAATCTAAAATAAAAATCATCAAATGAGGTAAAGCTTGATTTTAACTGAGTGTTCATGAGAAGCCACCCATTTCTATTGCCAATGACCTCAATGAAAAAGATGTTAAAAAAAGCAGTCTCTTCACCGTCACTTGTTTTAACGAGTTATGCAAAGTCAAGATTTCTGCCAGAGCCTTTAAATAGCAAACTTAGTTTAAATTATACATCAATAATAAATAGATCTACATGAACAGACACAGAAAATGCTAGGAATATGCAGGTCAGTCAGCACTGGGGAGAATAAACAAACACAAGTTAGACTCATGCTACAGAGCACATAGAGTCATAGAGCTGTACAGCATGGAAACAGACCCTTCAGTCTAACTCGTCCATTCCAATCAAAAATCCGAAATTAACCTAGTGCTATTTGCGAGCATTTGGCCATATCTCTCTCAATCTTTCCTATTCATATACCCATCCAGATGCCTTTTAAATACTGTAATTGTACCAGCCTCCACCACTTCCTCTGGCAGCTCATTCTATACATGCACCACCCTCTGCGTGAAACGTTGCCCCTCAGATCCCTTTTAAATCTTTACCCTTTCACCTTAAACCCATGCCCTCTAGTTTCGGACTCACCCACGCCCTGAGGAAAAGACTTTAGCTATTCTCCCTATCCATGCCCCTCATGACTTTATAAACCTCTACTAAGGTCACCCCTCAGCCTCTGACACTCCAGGGAAAATAGCCCCAGCCTATTCATTCTCTCCCCATAGCTCAAACCCTCCAACTCTGGCAATATCCTTGTAAATCTTTTCTAAATGTTTTCTAGTTTCACAACATCCTTCCTATAGCAGGGAGACCAGAACTGAAAGCAGTATTCCAACAGTGGCCTAAACAATGTCCTGTACAGTTGCAAAAAGACATCCCAACTCCTTTACTCAATGCACTGACATATAAAGGCAAGCATACCGAACGCCTTCTTTCACTATCCTGTCTACCTGTGAGTCCACTTTAAAGGAACTATGAGCCTGCACTTCAAGTTCTCTTTGTTCAGCAACACTCCCTAGGACCTTATCATTAAGTGTATAAGTCCTGCCCTGATTTGCCTTTCCAAAATGTAGCATCTCATATTTATTAAAA